CCAAAGAGAGAAGCATGGAACAGATCCTTCCCTCCCAACCCTGAAAAGAAGCCAATTTTTCCAACACCTTGATTTTGAACTTCTAACTTCTAGAACTCTGAGGTAGTACATGTCTATTATTTAATCCACCCAATTTGTATTACTTTTACTAGGTCAGCCCAAGCAAACTAATACACCACATCACACAGGAAATCCATTGAACTGCTCTGCATTTAGAGTAACCACAGCACCATGACGGGAATTGGTCCAAAGTCCCTACCTTAGCTCCTTTGGGGAAGCCTGGCTGTTGGCCTGCTTTCACCCACACATGCCCAATCCCCTGTGGTCAGTGTAGCATTCAAGTAATAGTCATGCTAGTAAAACCCACACCATCTACCAATACTAATTGATTAGTCTTTCATCTTGAAAGTAAATAGACACCTGAGCATGAGAACACTGTCAAAATGGACTGAGCACTTGTATTTTATATTTTAACTTATCTAATGCTCAAATGTTTCCTGTGACTACTATTGAGTATCATTATTATCTTTTCCGTGTCAAACAGCTAGTAAATGTCAGAGACAAGAACCAAATCCGAATGGTCTGGCTCTAGAGCCCATACCCCTAACTGCCACACTCTGCTCCCTCTCACCAGATGCTTAAGGAAAACCAACACCATGAAATAAAAACACTTACAATAAGAAGTAGAGCAACTGATCCCTGAGGAAATAGAAATCTTACAAGAAATAGACCAAAAAAATTGAATTCTATTTAGGACTTCTATTTCTGGAAACATTGTCAATTTGATACTCTGAACAAAATATTCAGCTAAAAACACCAAACATGAGGGATGAAATTAAAAAAAACAAAAAAAAACTTAACTGAGCTCACAAGAAATTAAGAAGAATTTCTTGAACCCAAACTACAAGGAAGCAAAACTGTGAACTACAAAAATGGAGGTAACCCAAGACTATCCAAAAGGGTTATTAGGAACCCAGAGACTTAAGTTTTAATAGTCATTTAGAGGACAGGAGAAGAGCTTTGAGCCCATATAAGGTAGGGAGTTGAAATTGAGACACGTATACCACCACCCTCAATAAAGTCAGGGTAAACTTTAAATAAATCCAAGTATTCAAAAAGAAAGAGATAAAGTTATTTCTCATATCCTCAGATCTAGGTGAAAAAAAGAAAAAAGAGCACTAGAACAGGTCTCTACTATGAATTTATTACCACAACGTTGCCCTTATATAGATTTGAGTGTTGAATTTATGTTACCTATATTATCTCAGAAATTCTAAGCTAAGAAATTCAGTTAGTTTTCCCAGCTTGGTAGCACTCCCAGGAAGCACAAAAAAAGGAACCTTCCTTCATCCCAGATTCCACATGATTCTCTCAGATATAAATAATCAAATATAAGCTATCACTCCAAAATTTAAAAAAAAGACAAATATCTGTAATGAGAGATGACATGAAA